GGGGAACACAGGGCTTCTCAGGTATCTTCATTAAATGCATGTCTCAATGCTCAGGCTTAGGTTCCTGTTAGAAGAAAGGCTTTTTGCCTAGAGCTCACCAAAGGAGGAGCTAATGTTCAGTGTCCCTCGGGCCAAATGCAGGCTGCCTGACCTTAGGGTAGGGACCGCCAAAGATTTTGAGGGGAAGAGAAGTCACCTAGTGGTTATGTGGTAGCTAGGGAGCCAGGAGGGCCAAATGCAGGCTGCCTGACCTCACTCAGGGTAGGGACTGCCAAAGATTTTGAGGGGAAGAGAAGTCACCTAGTGGTTATGTGGTAGCTAGGGAGCCAGGATGCCCTAGACACATTTTTCTTATTCACTTATTCATTCAGCAAAGTTGTACTAAGCACCCATGCTGTACTAGGCATTAGACATAAATGGTGGCAGACTCGATTCTTAGGATTTGGGATTTAGAGACTAGAAGAGACAGATGTGAATCAAATCATCAAATAAATAACTGCAAAAATACAGCTGTGAAAAATGTGAAGGAGAGTTCTGTGGTGCTAAGAGAGCAGGATTTATCCAGGTGGGGAGATGAGGGGCTTCCAGGAAGGTTTCTGTAGCATGACAGTTGAGCTGGGATCTGAAGGGGAAGGGTTGAGTGGGAAGCATTCCAGGCAGAAAGACTCATTCAACAAATGGATGCTTTATTACCATGTATTACAGCAACTCATCCTCCCAACAAAGCTGCTAAGATGAGAAAACTGAGACCTGTGTTAAAATAGACAGAGACAGAAATAGATAGAAGCAGGTTTCAACCCCAGCCATTTCTGCTTCCACAGGCATGATCTTTCCACTCTCTGGCTCCCATTAATGTTCTGTTGGACGAGCTGTCAGTGAAATTGCTCACGGCCCCCAGGAGAGTTTGGAATTTAGAAGCACCTATCTGCTTGTACATGGCTTAATCCTGCCTCTTCTCCTCCTGCTCATCCTTTGTCCCTTAGACCCCCAGATGTTTGGGTTCAAAAAGCTCAGGAGTAGCAGCCCCCCGATGGAAACCTTCCCTGCTACTTTCAGCTCTTTAATTGTTCAAGGCACATTTTCCTGTCCTTTGCTAACACAAGAGTTTGATGATCCACTACAGAGCTCAGAAGAAGACACCCTAATGAGCTCATCCAGGGGTATCAAACTCCACACCTCCAGATGCCAAACGATTGAGAGAGGTACAAGAGGAAATATAGACGACGTAGTGACCACAGTGCTCCAGCCATGTCTAAAAGGGCTGCCACCTCGCAGTCCAGGTGATGGTTGTCAGGATAGGAGGGGGGCCCAGTGTTGCCATGCCTTCTAACTTTTTCAGGAGAAAAAGGAAATTTTGATTTTTATGTAAAATCTCTAGATTTTTAAAGGCTGGCAACCAATTTAAGAATGTTTTAAAATACTATGCCTGCCAAACAGAACAGGTTTTCAGACTATACCATGTTTGCAATGTCTGGTTTAAGCAAATATGGTTTTCCTAGATTACCGTCGGCCACAAATCTCCAAAGCTTATGGAGGTCTGGGATTTGCCATCTGTGTTTCTAAAACTGGAAGGAGAGAAAAGAGGTTGGAGGGAGGAAGCCATGTGCCAGGCACATTATCTATGATATCTCATTTAATCTTCAAAACAGAAGGTAAAATGGCAACATTCTGCAGATAGGGAACCGCAACCCAGAGAGACCGAGTAATTTATCCAGGGTCACAGAGAAAACAAGGTGAAAACCCCAGGTCTTTCAGATTCTAAGGTTTTGTGCTGCTACAAAAAGTCATGTCTAATGATGTTATAAATATCCAAAGCTCAAGACAGCCCATGGAATTATTTTTTTTCCAAATGATAGATTCTATTTCTGGAATAAAACTAAACTAAGTGCCTAAAACTATCTGCAGTGGTAGCTGAGTGAGTTTAGACTTGGAGTCTCTGCCCTTTAACAAAATGTGTCAAATGCCTTTGTAAATACCTTGTTTCTTAACCTTCTGGTTTATTCCACTTCAAGTGCTTTACCCTCATAAGAATGTGCACGAAGGTATATATCTAAGAATTTTGTCATTGTGCTATTTATTGTAGAAAAAAGTTGGAAACAACCTAAATATTCAACAATACAGGATTAGCTATATAAATTATGATATATTCTGGTAAGGAAATTTTATGGTTTCATTAAAAATGATGTTGAAATACATCTGTTGACATGGAATTCTTGTCAAGTGAAAAAAAGAATAAATTATGAGTAATATAATTCCATTTTTGCAAAAAAAATTGCATGCATATAATTTAAAGTATGTATAAATATAAAAAATCTGAAAATTATGTATTACAAGAATTTATTTCTATTTTTGTTTTGTTGTCTGTATTTTATGGGTTTTTTTGTTTGTTTGGTAACAAGTATGTATTATTTTTGTAATGAGTAAAAAGAAACAATAATAAAAAACTTTGCAAAATAATATGAGATTCTAAGAAAAATTGGCAAAGGAGTTGTTTGCTCCAGGCTGATGTCCCAAAACAACCGTTCATAATATATTCAAATAAATATCTTCTAAAGCCTACAAGAAAGTAGGCATCATGCATCTTTGGTATTTTTTCCCTTCAAAACTGGGCTAGCCAATGGTCCCACTACATGCCCAGATAAGGGCTTCACATGCTAGCCCTGCAACAAATGCATATGCTTTTCACCAGCTCAGCTCACAAGGTATTTACTCTTATGGAAAATATGATCTGTGGATACAGTAAGACAGCATGGCAGGTTGGAGAATTCCAAGTGGTTTTATAAGGCCGATTGTAGAAAAATGGAAGGAATTGAGTCTGGGAAAATTGATAGCAATCAGAACACAGAGGACCTGAGCGTTAAGAAAAGAAGTTTAAATTCTATTCTGAAGGCAGCGGGGAGCCATGGATGGATATTGAGCAAGGGAGTGACACAGCAGGTCTAGGATTTAGAAAATAAAAATCTTACCTTATGTACATCTCTTCCCTGTTGTTATCTTTGTAGAAATTCTAGGTGGAGGAAGAAAAACAGTGATGAGTGTTTCTCTTTGCAGAGTAGCAAAGGTGGAGGATGTAGTGTTAGAAATGAAGACAATTGCTATTTACTATCTGGGTCCCTGAGACAGGAACAAGAAATTTACTTTCCTGAATGTGTTAGTCTCAGTGGGAGAGTCTACAATGAAAGTCACTTCCCTGACCCTTAGACTACAGAGGAGCAGAGGAAGGGTCTCAGCTATCACATGTCAAGAGGTACAGTTCAGTTATTTACTACACTGAGAGGTGGGCTGCCAAAGCTGGGGCAGTCTGCTTTGACAAAAGTCCAATTTGAAAGGCAGCCTCAGCTTGATCTTTAAAAGCTCACGTCTTGCACTTAGAGGGATCTGAGTTTGAAAGCAAGTAATAGCATCCCAGGATTAGCAGTAGGTCGTAACTCCTGATGGTGTAGAACTATCAGGAGTTATGATGGGATTCCACAGCCAAAAGCATTTCAACTTGGCAATACCTAGGAAGGCTGGTCCCTATTCCCGCTCAAGGGCAATTTAGACTACCAGTTGACCTGGGCTCTACCACCAGAGATCCTAGCCATGGCATTTTTAAACAAGCCCTAACAGATTCCGAGACAGGAGGTCCCGATGCAATCCCTGGGCCACACCACGAGCAAACTCTGGTTTAATTCAATGCACCCATGTGCACCTGAGGCTCAGAGAGGGGAGGCAACACCTTCCAGGGCACACAGGTGGCAGACCATGCTAGACATCAGATCTCTTGACACAAACTCCCTTTCCCCACCATCCTGTCCTCCTGAAACTGTGTTTAAATCACACAAGCACTAGTGCGGAGGCAACACCTTCCAGGGCACACAGGTGGCAGACCATGCTAGACATCAGATCTCTTGACACCAACTCCCTTTCCCCACCATCCTGTCCTCCTGAAACTGTGTTTAAATCACACAAGCACTAGTGAGGTCAGACTGCATATGAAATTCTGTCCCATGCTTTCTCTCTGATCCTAGCCTGACTGTTAAACATCAGTTTCTTCAACCAACTTCCATCTCTCCTTAGAGACAAACTGCTAAGCTCCTGGAAAACCCCTCTTCATGCTGTTTATGTAAATTGAGTCTTGTGGAATTATTAGCAATGAATTCTTTTCTGCTGTGATCAGGATTTTTCTACTCCCCTTAGCATTCCAGAAAATCAATGGCAATATCTAGGCTGTTTAAAGAGTCTGCTTAGGGTAAGGGAAGCCACACAATGAAACTCTGGGAACATGATTTGTATATCTGGAGCACTGGAAATGGCAGGACGTTGATGTGATGGATATCACATGGCCTTTTGGTCAACTTTATTAATTTAAAACATTTTAAGGTGGGCTGACATGGTGGGTATGTATCATCATGGCTGTTACTACCTGTCTCTTGACCAAATCATAGAATACAAGAAAGAGGGTGCAAGGAGCTGGCCCATGGAGCTTGTGCTTGGGTTTGAAATTAGGTGCTCTGGTTAATCTGGGCCATAGTCATTTTCTATAAATTCTGGTTATCAGTGTTCTGGAAAGAGAAGGAAACTAACATGTATTGAGCATCTAATCATGGGCCAGGCCTGCACAACCTAATGAAACAGCTGCTATTATTTTCTTTCTGTAACAGGCAAGCAAACTAAGACTTCAGAGCATTTCCCTGACTTGTTCATTCCATGAATTATCAGAGGTGGGATGAGAACCCATGGGCTGTGTGACTCCAAAGCTCCTTCTCTTTACCAGTCAAGGCTGCCACCTTCCCTCTTTGTGACGTGTTGTGCCAAGGAGAATACTAGTTATTCTCATTTCAGGTATAAGGAAACTGAGGCCTCGAAAGGCCTCCCGACACAGAGCTAGTGGATGGCAGAGCAGGTATTCAACCCCCATATTTGTCCCTATCAAGAGCAATAGTGAGCCCCAAAGCCAGGCCTGCCCCCCAGGACTCCGGTCTAATGCGGACAGTGGGAGACCCGCCCGCCGCACGCACCAGCAGGTTCACGGTGCAGCTCATGCGGTTATCTTTGCTTTCGTCTGTCATCACGTCCCGGTAATCCAGCAGCTTCTCCAGAAGGCCTTTGACCAGGTTCACGAAGTTCTCCACCGACTTGGCAATGGTCGGGTGCTCTGCAGCACACTCCATCAGGCTGTGGGCAGAGACGGAGGGCAGTGAGCGCAGGGCTGGGGAGAAAGACCCAGCTGAGGGCAGGTGGCTTGGGGCGGGGCAAAGCAAAATAAGCCAGAGAATCCAAGTTCCTCTAACTCATTGGCTCATTTAGTTCATTTACTCATGAACATATCCATAGAGTGTAGCAAGAAGTTGTTTTTTTTCTTTTTTTTTGCTGTTTCTTCTTTTTTGTTTTTTATTTTATTTTTTTGTCTTTTTTCTTTCTCTTCTAAGTAGTTTTTTTCTACCAGCAGAATGAGAAAAAATGAAAATAAAATAATTCCAATCTGGGCAATGGCATGCAGAAAATGGCCACTTTTACACTCCCATATTGGGAGTACATCAGCACAACTTTTTTGGATAGTAATTTTCACAGTATCTATCAAATTTTTAAATGCACGTATCCTTTGACCCAACAATTCTACTTGGGGGAATTTGTACTATAGAAATATTCCCAGAAGGATGCAAGAATATATTCATAATACTTATAAATTGTGTCTAATAGTGAAATAGTTGGAACCATCTTAAATGTCCATCAATTGAAAAATGGTTAAATTAAGGTATATTTGCAAAATAAAATTCTCTGAAGCCATTAAAAACTATTAGAGAGATCAATATGTTTTGACATGAAAAGCTCTATAAAATATATAGTAAAGTGAGAAAAGTAAGTCTCAGAACAATATTTTTTATTTAACCAGTTGATATATAGTTTACCATGTCCCGACTGTTACTTTAAACATCTTACAGACATTAACTCATTTGATCTCCCATCATAGTCTTACAAGATGGAACTCTTGTAGTTAGGGAAACTAAAGCATGGAGAGGTCAACTAAGTTGTCTAAGGTTACACAACTGGTACGTATGAGCAGCGTGGCTCTAGCACCTGTGTCTCAGCCCCCAAATACCGTATGTGTGTGCTGGTGCACATGGTGGTGCATGACATGTGGTCAGGGAGAGACACCAAACTCTTTATGGTGGTTGCTTCTTGGTCGGCTAAGAGAGGAGGAAAGCCGTTATTTTTCTACTTAAATATGCATACATTATTTGAAAAATTACAACATTCATTGTAATATTAGTATTATAAATTTTAAAAACAAAAATAAAAACTGTGACATCCCTTAAGCATCTACTAGTTGCTAGGCACTATGCTAGGCATTGTGTAGTGGGGAGAAAGATACTGAAATAAAAAGAATCATGCCTACCCTCAGGTGGCCCACAGGCTAGGTAAGGAGAGACAAGTGGATTAAAATTTTGATTAATGACTACTTCTTATTAATCACTTATTCTATGTCAGACATTGTACTACTCATTTTTTCTTAAGAAATCTTGACAGTAATTCTGATAAGTAAAAATTATTCCATCCATTTTACAGTCGAGGAGAATAAGGCTTGGAAAGATTAAGGACTTTTTCAATTTTACTCCGGTAGTAAGTTTAAGTGGTGACCTTGGGAATCAAGACAATCACTATGCAATCTGGGTGAGAGGGGCTGGCTGGTTAGCTCACTTGGGAGAGCATGGTGCTAACAATGCCAAGGTTAATGGTTTGGATCTCTATACCAGCCAGCCACCAAAAAAAAAAAAAAAAAAAAAAAAA